TTGGAGAAGAACCCAAAAACTATGAGACCAGCTAGTGGTAGGGGAATCCGCCACGAGAATCTGCCATGTATAAAGCATTCAAAATAAATAAACAAAGAAATCAATAAATAAAAATAAGAAACAGAGGAAACAGAGCAATAATAATTAGCACTAATAACCTTTTTCTTTCCTTCCTTGAAAAATTCCAAAAAAAAATTAAATGAATTAAAAATTGAGAGATTAAAGGGTATCCGATCTGAATAAACTAAGAATTCCAGGCGGAGGAGCTTAAAATTGCAAGAACAAGACACGACCATGCAGAACTTGTTTTAATGGTTTTGTAGGACGCCTTTTGGCTTTGTAATTGCCCCTGTCTTTTCTGAAATTGACGTTTCTCTCCTTTTTCGGCTTTGGACAAAATATGAAATCCTCCATTATTCAATAATTGCATTAGAGGTAAAAATCAACGCTTACAAATTACAGAAAATGACTAATAATCAAACCAAAATTGCGCATTTTTCTGACTTTGGGTCTGTTTTTTCTTTCAATTCTTGTCATGTTTATAGATGGTAACAGGTATCGTTTGCGAGCATCTAATTCAATTATATAAAATTTTGATTTTTTATATCCGAATTTGGAATGAGTTTGGATAATTTTATATTTTGTAAGTTTAACTGCATTATAACGAAAGATATTTATATATGTTAATATAGATTGTACTTTTGATATTATTCTTAAATGTGAAATAAATATATTTAAAATTTTAAATAATTATTTTTTAAAAAAATTATGTAGCATTTAAAAAAGTGTAATTCAAATCTAAATTTGGTGGCGTTAGGACTGGGCAACGGTCGGTTGGAACCGCTCAACCGACCACAACCGTCGGTTGTGCCGATTGGCCTCGTCGGTTGATCGGCTCGGTCATCGGGGGGAATCCTTTCCCCTCGAACCGATCGAAAAAACCGAACTTTTTTCTTTGGGCAAGGTCACCCATGGGTCCCGCCCGACTACCTCGGCAGCACTTCACTATTTCCCCTCGACCCCCCCCTCCACGAGTCCCGACTCACCTGATTCCCCCAGACTGGCCGACCCCCCTCCCACTAGTCCCGACTCCAGACGGACCAGACCTGATTCCCCCCTGCCCCCCCTCCCACGAGTCCCGATTCCCCTCCGAAATCGACAGAAATTGACCTTTTAAAAAATCGATCGAAATTGACTTTATATCATTGCAGTTCGGTCAGTATATCTTAAAAATTTTTATCGATTTTGAAGAAAAACGACTCGAAACTAACCGAAACCGATCCATGCACACCCTAGTTGGCGTGCATGTGTTGATAACTACAATAAAAACAAAAATTTGTTTTTTTTTTTTGTGAATATTGGGTTTTTGGTCTTTTGATTAGTAATAATATGATGGGCCCAGATTAGTCCTCATTGGATATTATTTTGGGCCTTGTAGCCCAAGCTCGTTTCTCCATAATAACCCAAGACCAAGAAAAGTGTGAAGGACTGGCAACCAGTCAAAGCCCAAATTGGCTAGTTCAGCTTTTAGGCTAATCCACTGCCAATGGATCTGGGCCTATGGTTTGCCCAGCTTCCGCTAGCGTCTTCGTCTCTGGACGTCACCACCTTCGTGAGGCCCAATTGCGTACAATCCCGATGAACTAACATCATTCTTTTTAATTTAAATAAAAAGAGATTTGAATCTTATTTTTTAAAAAAAGGGATCATAAATTAATCACTGACCAAAATATTAAGGTGCGAACCAAAGACTATTCTAGTCTCACGTATGATCATGTTTTTTTTTTATATTTGGTATTTTCATTTATCTGAGTACTTTTGAATTTGGAAATTTCAAAATCCAATATAGAAAACTCGAATTGAATATATTTAAAAACATAAGATAGGATTTATTAGACATTAAATAAGATTATTTCTTATCATGTAATTGAAAGTACATATATATATATATATATATATATATATACATACTAGTAGGATCAAATCTTTAATTCAATTTACAATGAATAAAAATTTCATTGCTTATGGCATGAGCCATTGGGTAAATATTCAAGAATCATTTCCACTTTGGAATCTAGTAAAAAAAATCCATATTAATCTAGCCAATCACCTAAAATAGGTAGGAATTATAATAAGATTAAGGCTAGAATTAAATTCCTCTATTGTCACGTTCTTTTCCGATGATCACACTTTCATTTTTTGTCTCTTATTCTGTCCCTCACACTGAACAAAGAATATATATATTGTTGCTTCTATCAATGTGCTTGAAAAGGGGTGAACTAATGTTGACAAATTTATGTTTAATTATTTTAATGAAGCCGGCAATTAATTTTTGTCTCTTTTTTATTGGGCGTGAGGCTACATGAAGATGAGGGTTGTTATTTATTTATTTTTATTTAAATTAATTTTTTAATGGGTTAGAAAATTCGAATTATTATATATAGTCGGTGACCGTCCAAAGAAAACAGCACTACTTGTTGTCAAAACATGGATCAAAGAATTAAGATCCCCATGTAATGTGTATTAATTTTAAGATTAGTACTTATTTTTGATGAATAATGGTACATTTTTGTTTTGCTCATGCGTCTACATTATGCAATTAAATAAAAAAAATATTTTTTGATAAAAATATATCAAAATAAAATATTTATTCTAATTTTTGTAAAAGTTACAAAAATAAACGTAAAAACAAAAATACATAATCGGTGACCGTCCAAAACCTAAAAGATTAAGCATTAGTCTAAAGAAAACAACACTATTTCCAAACAAAGCATGGATCAAAGAATTTGCTTAAGATCCCCATGTCATTAAACTTAAAAGAAGAATTAAGTAGATAGCAAGTGGAGGAGAGACAATGGATTTTGCCAATTTTGTAGAATTCCCAAGAAAAATTTGATGTCTTCCTTTGCTAAGAACTTAAGAACCATGAAAAATATTTGGTAATGGAGACTATCTATACTTCGCATGGTGGATTTGGTAATTCCCACACTCGATTCAATACGAGATATTGTTCATAGTTTCATAATTTCATGTGCAATTATTATTTGAGCAAAGATATATAGTGGACCGACTTCTATATTTTAAGTTATATATATATATATAAAAGGTGTAAATTACCAACCCTAGCTAAGTTTGAGATGAACTCGTCCTGTTTTTATTTTGGGGTGAAAAATGCTTCAATAATTGATGCCCATAGGGTAGCATTGTCCTGCCAAGCATGGATAATTACTTCCTCCTCTATATCAATATTTTGTTCTTCTTTAAGCATATGTTTGGTTCAATTTTTTATATTCAATTTTTTAAAAATAAATAATGAGGAATTTATATCGAGCAAATCAACATAGTAAGATTTTGTATAAATATTGTGTGAAGAAATATTAAGTATTAGTTGTTGTTGATTTAAAAGGTAATGAAAATAATTGAATGTCTTAAAAATTTGTATTCTTATATGACATTCAATTAAGTTTTTACATTTTTATTTTAAATTAAATAAACTTTTATAACTAATGTTTGAATCAAATCACTATTTATCATTTTATATTGCATACAGAGATGAAAGGAGGGAGCTAGTAAAGGCTCTCGTCTCTCCAATAGTTTTATTCTATTTGTTTAAAAATAGTTATAGTTTTGTCTTTATATTTTTTAAAATTTTATAATTATATTCTTATAAATATTGAACGTTTAAGATGATTGTTTTAAAAATATTATTTTTTTCTCTCCAAACATGAAGTCTTGACTTTGTCACTAACTGCATGGTATTGATATGCTAAGATCAATGATTATATAACATGATTATATAATCAAGTAATACTTTTTTTATTTTTTTAAAAATAACAAATATTTAAAAATAAAAATTAAAATACAATATTTTAATTTTTACTTTTTGTGGTGTATAATTTATAAGTTCATCGTGTATGCTTGTGTTATGGTCTTGAAAGCAAGAAAAACTGAAAAAACGTGTTTCAAATTACTCTTGGATTTTTGGGAATTCCATAAATTTGACAATTAAAAGCGGTTGATCCCCACAAAAATAATGACTTTAATTTGCCTTTAGCAGTTATAAGTCACAGCAAAAGGCGGCCTTTTGTATATCCCTTTCATAAGATCAAATGCCCTTTGGCCGCCATGCACAAGCTGCAAGTTGACGTACCTCTTGCTGACACGAAAGGTCTGCCTCCTTCCTTTCACATTTTAAGGGATATTAATAATCCACGTATATCCATTACACTTTCGACACGTGTCCAACATATAAAAAATATTTATTTTTGGCATAAATTTTGATTTTTAATTTTTAATATAAATATTAATTATAAAAACTTAATCTATAACTTAGAAAAATTATTTATTTTACCTTTTAATAACAATTGTGTTTTATTAAATTTATTCATACATGAATATTCAATCATTTGATTCAATATTAAGTGTAGGTTATTTTTTTTTCAAAAAATTGAGTTCCATTATTTATTTTTTATAAGTATTTTTAAATTGATTGCCAATAAAAATATTAACCAATAAGATCAAAAGACATAGCGTTTCCATTGTTGGGCACGTAGCCATCGCCCAAGCATGGGTCCAGCCCATGCATTTAAAATGGCTTGCACGTGGCTTTGCCTCCTGCTTTGCTTAAGAGTGACCTAAATGTTGCCACGTGTGCAACACTGAATGGCCAACATTTGCCAGTGCAAAGATTTTTCTTTTTTATTTACTAAAATTTTACGTCGCAACTCTTGCCAATGAGGACTCACCACATGTACCTGTCATCAGTGATACATTACGTTCAAAATCAAATTTCATAATAACTATAAAAATATAATTTTATGTAAAAAATTTGATCACTTATTTTGATTTGTAACATTTTATTGTTGATGTGTTCAGGTGATATTGTATGAGAATATTACAACTTTCTTTTATATAAAGATATAAATTTTTAAAGTAAAAATTTACAAAGTTGTTTTTTATTTATTTTTTTAGCCAACATATGCATTTAATG